TTTTTGAGTTTGGGCAAGGACACAAGGTCCCCATGATCACCTATTGCCCGGGGGCCCCATGAGTTGTCAGTCCGCCCCTGGTGGAGGCACTGTTCCACATTAGAGATTCCTTGCCATTTTGTGATGCACTGAAGGCTCCGCTCTTTAGTTACAACACAGGTGATACGACATCCCACCAATAGTCACAAAAAGGTGTATAAGATGATTACACCTGTATTGTATCTAAGCCTACGTCAATCCCTTCCTTTCTACCACACTCTTACCTTATGTTCACACCCAAACGCTTTCCACAGCGTTTTGAAAAAACACAATACAGTCCATTTAACATGATTTCCCATGGGACATGTTCACATCTTGTTTTTTGGAAAAGGTCAGGGACTTTTTTAATGCAAAAAGTTGCATTTTTGGTGCTATAGACAGCAATGGAAACGCTGCTGAAAAGCATGTAGTGCATTTTTGCGGCGTTTTCAATGCTTTTTTGCCGCGTTTTGCGTTTAAATCTGCCTAGCAACAAGAAAAATTAAAACAATGAAAAAAAAAAAGCAAAACACATCAAAAACATGTCAAAAACGCAATGCAGAAACGGCTCAAACGTAAACTGCATAGGTGTGAACCTAGCCTTAGTGAGTTCTAAACTGCTGTCTTCCTACTCCTGCCGCTGCCTGACTTCACTAATGTGAAGTAAACACTGTGATTTTAGGGTCTGAAATTGAGCTGTCAGACTTGTGCAGAAGTGCTAGGATCTCGCAGAGTGTACATGGTTGCCAGCTTCCTTGGAATCCCCTTTAAATGCTAGGTCTTTATAGTCTGTCCCTATAATTTTATCTTTGACAGACCCTAATTTTAGTCAATATAAAATTCTTTTTTAAGTCTTTTTTTTTCTATGCAGTTCTTATTATCCATGTTATCTAGGCTTTCTATAATTTCTAAAATTTAATTTTTTAGCTTTCATTAACCGCAACACAGCAGAACATGTTAATTCTGCAGGAGCCTGAACAACTTTAAGAAGACAACTGAAATCACTCCCACGTACAACCCTGTACCTTTATCATACACAAAACTCCGGGAATTCATATTTTGTACTAATACAAAGAGGCAAATATAACATGTGACATTTTGTTAACATGGTAATTGTTACTGTATATGTCCATGTGACATTTCCATAGAATATCAAGTAGTAGATCTCAAGGAAAATATCTGCTCTCATCAATTTTGTAGAGATCTGAAATAAGTTACATTTTGCTCATTTTATAAATTTCTCTATGGGTATTTTTTTTTAATCAAATTTTTTTATTGAGGAAGGAAAACAATAAAAAACAACCCCAGTGATATACCCATAAAAAGTAGAAAAACAACAACATAAACCCCTAACCAGGGGCGGACTGACCATTTGGAAACTCGGGCACTGCCCGAGGGCCTGGGGTCAGTAGGGGGCCCCATGAGATGCCCGTGGTACCTTTTTCATAGGCTTTTTTATGTTTGGGCAAGGACACAGGGGCCCCATGATCCCCTATTGCCCGGGGGCCCCATGAGTTGTCAGTCCGCCCCTGCCCCTAACGCTCCCACCCACCCTTCCTGCCCTAAGGTCTTTGAAGAGCAGAGACCAAAAACCCAGAAACACCATACACCTGTCAGCAAGTAAGTAACAATTGGTGTCTGAAATTGAGCTGTCAGACTTGTGCAGAAGTGCTAGAATTTCACAAAGCATCAATATTTAAGTGTACATGGTTGCCAGCTTCTTTGAAATCCCTTTTAAATGCTAGGTCTTTATAGTCTGTCCCTATAATTTTATCTTGATAGACCCTTTCACTTTGTGAAATTGTATACTATATAAAACTTTTTTTTCACAGCGATATTGTTCAATGAGCAATCTTTGGTATCTGTCATGACTCAGTAAATGATAATTTGTGCAACCTTCTTTGCTGGAATCAATTTATACACCAATAGAGGTCAACCACCATCTGTTCAGATATACCACATATCATTTAAGGTACCCTTCCGGGAGCGACAGGTGCAATAGAAACTCAGTTATGATGTTAGACTCCGACCCTTAATACCGTACCTGTATAGCGTATGAACTATTTGGTTCTACCTAGTACCTGTAATTCGATTGATCAAGGTCCCAGTCCTGTAGTGCCTAACCAAGGTTCCTAAAGCTTATCAAAGCTTATTATCCCCTCTTAGTATATATAAATGTTTCTTTCAATATTGTGTCATTTACAGCCTGTACCCCAGTCTGAATGAATGGGTGGGAGTGGCACCTACCACCCCTGAGCTATAAGCCTACCTGCCTGGAAAAGGTAGCACCTGGGTCTGTGTGGTGCTTGGAATAAGTTCATCATTCATATAGCCTAGAAGACATAACAATGGGTCTGAAAATATAGCAATGGGTCTAGTGCAGAGGATAATGTGTAGACAAAGTTCAAAGTTTGGAGAATTGCTTCCCAATACCTATGTAGTTTGGGGTACTGCTGCATCACATTAATGAGGGTACATGGAGAGCCTCCAAATCTCCTAGACCCAATACCTATGTAGTTTGGGGTACTGCCGCATCACATTAATGAGGGTACATGGAGAGCCTCCAAATCTCCTAGACCCAATACCTATGTAGTTTGGGGTACTGCCGCATCATATTAATGAGGGTACATGGAGAGCCTTCAAATCTGCCGCCTAGGGACCCAATACCTATGTAGTTTGGGGTACTGCCGCATCATATTAACGAGGGTACATGGAGAGCCTCCAAATCTCCTAGACCCAATACCTATGTAGTTTGGGGTACTGCCGCATCATATTAACGAGGGTACATGGAGAGCCTCCAAATCTCCTAGACCCAATACCTATGTAGTTTGGGGTACTGCCGCATCATATTAACGAGGGTACATGGAGAGCCTTCAAATCTCCTAGACCCAATACCTATGTAGTTTGGGGTACGGTACATGGAGAGCCCGCATCATATTAACGAGGGTACATGGAGAGCCTCCAAATCTCCTAGACCCAATACCTATGTAGTTTTTGGGGTACTGCCGCATCATATTAATGAGGGTACATGGAGAGCCTCCAAATCCCCCAAATGTAGATTGTTAGCTCTAACGAACAGGGCCCTAGATTGTTGTTTCCTGTTTCCTCTTGTACCAAATTGTATTGTAACTGCGATGTCTACCTTCATTTTGTAAAGCGCTGTGCAAACTGTTAGTGCTATATAAATCCTGTATAATAATAATAAAATCTCCACGACAAGTGTCTGAGCATCGGGCAAACTTAAATAGCTTCTGTAGCATAAGGCAGGATCTACGTAATAATACAGCTGAAATAGTATTTTGTGAGACTGAAAAATATATAAGTGGGACTGACTATAGGATAACGCCATTGCTCCCCCATTAAATTGCCCAGATCCTCTATCCAGCGTGCCTGGCAAGGGAAATCTGCATCACTATATAAAGCTACCAGGTGAATACAATAGTTTCTGGGTATTTTACATTATATAAAGTGTTTTCTAATCAGCCCATGAGAAAAAAAATATATTTTTAAAAACTTCATTATGGAAGCTGTGGGTTACAGCCAATATAAAGTGTTTTTTCATGTGGCAGTTCCTAAAATGTGTTAGGCACATCTGATATATTTGTGAATTGAAACATCATTATTACCTGAGAATAAAATTGTGAAACTATTCTATAAAGCTGTTGAACATAGATTTAATATTTTCTCAACTTTACGAACAATGAATAAGAGGGCTCCCCGAGGGAGACACAAATAGAAGCATGGTGCATGGCATGACCATAGGCTTAGGGTTGGAAGTACCACCAAATTCGGACTTCGTGTTGTCTTAGGTGTGTTGTCTTTGGTGTGTTGTCTTTGGTGTATTGTCTTTATAAATACCTTTAAAATGCAGTCTAACTCCTGCACTGAAGTAAAATCACCAGGAGATCTCCTGCCACCTCTGAAAAATCAGACTGGTTACATCTTTATTAATTCCCAAAATCTAATCAGTGCATAATTAAAGACATTAAAATAATCATGGAATTAATTAATTAAATGCATTGCAATTATTTATCGAATAAGACATTTTATTTCCAGGGGGTATATCCTGTGCCATGTGCTATGAAAGTATAATGAAATGCTCTGCACGAGGAGAGACATCTCGGAGTAACGCTTTGGTGACAGGGGCTGTAGATAGGTTGTTGCAAAGCTATCAGAAGCTGTTCTGGGGATTTCCCTCCCTCCAGAGACATTCACACATGGAAAGCAGATGCAGCAAGTTTGACAAGCCACAGCATTATAATTTTCTGTTCGAATATATAATGCAAAATATGTATATTTAAATACATCTGATTTTCAAATAATGTTTGTACATTGAAAATTAAGAAAATTGTGCACTATGTATATAGGGGCATTTGGCATAAAACTCGCAATGAAACGTTTTTTGCATTTACCCATTTGATTGCCCAACTGAGTTGCATTCACTGGCAATTTTCCATTCTTTATCTGGAAATCCAGTTCTCAGTAATTATTACCATATTTATAATACAGACAATGTTATGTTCACCAGTAGAACTTTTTTGTAAGATTTGCATTTTAAAGTGTTACTAAACCCCGGACCCTGCATTCACTATATCTGGTCTCCCCGGACCCTGCTTTCTCTCTATCTGGTCTCCCACAGTACACACAACATGGAAATGCAATTATTTTAGTAAATATAAACTGCTAAATACCTTTTCTCATCAGCATTTAGAGCAGTCTTGTGACTTCTATCTGTGACCAGCAGAGCACTGGTTAAAGCTTGTAGGAGGAGTTTTCATTCTGCTCTAGGAGGATGCAGAACCCCCGACCTATGTCTGGCCAGTGCTGATTGGCCCTGTGCTGATCACATGCACTTGTGACTTCTATCAGTGTCTAGCAGAGCACTGGTTAAAGCTTGTAGGAGCAGTTATATTTCTGCTCTAGGAGGATGCAGAACCCCTGACCTCTGCCTGGACAGTGCTGATTGGCCCTGTGCTAATCACATGCACTCTCCCAAGAAAAAAAAAAACCCTTTCTAGCAATACACACCAAACTGAGCATGTGCAGAGTGATGCCACACAATATATCTTATCAGGAGATAAGAGGGGTAACTGGAAGAAGGGGAGGATCAGAGAAGTCAGGATCAAACAGCGTTTTTACACAATGCAGAGGATTAACCTCTTGCACAGTGAGTATAACAAGCATGCTTTACTGCATATACAGGCTGATTTTACTGTTGTGGGTTTAGTAACACTTTAATAGCGGTAGATCATTAATTTTCTCAATGATGCACTGTTGACCTTTTTTAAATCTTGCTCAATCTTGCTCATCATTGCCCACATTTGCTGCACATTGAAATCACTGCAAAAGTGTTTTTTTTTTTAAAGTGTAACCTTTTTTTTACAGTTTGGATATAGTGTGGATGCCCTGTAAGATTTGAATCACTGACATGACCCATCCGGGGAGATTTATTCTTTCCCTTTGTCTTGGTGGCCACTGTTGCTGTGATACAAAAGAATGGGAAAGCTAAAATGACAGTATAATGTCATGCTATCTATGAGGGGAGACAACATCTTGATATAAGACCAGATGTATACTGCTGCTCCTAAACGTGAGTTTAGGAGCTTTTGCCAACGTCCTTGAATTCAACTCAATAAAAACCTACAGTTGCAAGAAAAAGTATGTGAACCCCTTGGGATTACGTGGAGTTTTGCATGAATTGGGCATAAAATGTGCTCTGAACGTCATCTAAGTTACAACAATAGAAGAACACAGTCTGCTGAGCATAATACTACACAAACATTAGATGTTGCCATGGTTTAATTGTTCATGTCAATATAAAATACTCTGGCCAATCAAATTAATAAATGTCCAAGTGCTAAATGCGGCTAAACGTGGTACTGCGTTTACACGTGTTTTTGAATTTTTCTGCTGCCAGGAGAGCTAAATATGTATGGGAGTTCTAGTGTATATGAGGTCTTACATGTGTGAATACATGTTAATAGCCCTTTCAATATAAATAGGCATCAAAAAAAGCAGCACTGCTCAAGGCACAAAAATGTCCTATGGATGGGTTTGCATAGATGCATTGTAGTGCAATGCAGTAAAACATGCACTTTACTACATGATACCCCAATTAATGAATGGGTACACTTTGAATGGCACTCCTATGCACATACACAGTAAAAGAAAAATTGCACTACACTGCACTAAAGCGCACTGCATTGCACAACGCTTGGGCAAAAATGGTGCAAGCGGGTTTTTTGTATGTTAAGGGACATTGACGGCACATTCAAAATTAATGGGCTGCCCTAACACAGCACGCTTCAGCATTCATGTTAATGGACCTTCAACCTGAAGCTAATAGATATCACTGCGATACCTATGATCAGTTGAGCTATCAATTGGTATTGTGAGTTCCTACTCTTCATAGGGATGAAACGATGGGAGGAAGCATTCATTCTGTTTTCTATGCGGAGTTACAACATTACAGACAATCAAAAGAGAGAGGAGATAGTTTCATGTTCCTAAAACTATAAAGAGCCTTTTGACTCCTTTCAACATCCTCTGTATCCTCTTCCCCCTACATCTCATTTACTGAATTTAACCACAAATAACCAGAAGTGGAAAAAAGAAGAAAGGAAAATAAGCAGAGGTATTATCACAATTTATACAATGTTTAAAGTTGTTCTTTCTCCTCTCGCCTTCTCTGGCATTGGCCAACATGTACCATTATGAACAATTCAAGCCCGGAGAGGCAAACTATTTCCTTTAAATGGGTCCTATTTTTTGCTGCAGACAGACAAAAGAGCAAAGTGTGCAGACTAAAGGCTGTTATGCACAGGCAGAAATATTGGCCAGCATTGGCCAGTTCTGCAGAAGAGACATGTTGGAAAACCAGCATCTGATCACAGCTTGCAGCCAATGGCTACGAGCACTGATCAGTGTGTTCTGGAGGGGGACAGTCCCTCTGTCAGAAGACAATAGATTGGCAGGGAAGATCTCTGTACCAACATCGCTTAGTTAGTATGGCTGTAGAATTTTCAGAGACACATATAATAATTCTTTAGTGTCTATAGGCGATTTTGGAATAATTAAAGACGGCAAAGTAAAAAATAAAGTGTGATTTTATTTTTATCACACAATGACTTAAAATAACAATGTAAAGCATATCATGAATAACAGTTCCGTCTAGGTAAAGCAGAAATGTCAAAATAGACGTTCTGAAGATGTGTCACCCATATTTTCATGACCGTTGTTCTTCCATGTGGTTCTTGTCCTGTGTTTTAGCAAGAAGAAGGACGTGACGTGTTTTTATAGAATGCACCTGTTCCAGTCTGTCAGTCCATAATGTCTTCATACCATGCTTGTGTGTGTATGAGTGTGTGCAGCGCTCTTCACATCTCTTAGGATGTCTTTTTATGATGCTTGTATACATCATAATTCGTGATCTTAGAACAGGGGTGGGCAAACTTTTTGACTTGAGGGCCGCAATGGGTTCATATATTGGACCCGGGGGCCGGACCAAGAGTAGATGAATGATGTGTATGTGTCATCCATAGTAAGTATAGTAATATTCCCCCATAGTAAGCATAGTAATTAATCCCCCATATAGTAATTCATCCCCCATAGTAATTCATCCCCCATATAGTAATTCATCCCCCATATAGTAATTCATCCCCCATAGTAATTCATCCCCCATAGTAATTCATCCCCCATATAGTAATTCATCCCCCATAGTAATTCATCCCCCATAGTAATTAATCCCCCATATAGTAATTCATCTCCCATAGTAATTCATCCCCCATAGTAATTCATCCCCCATAGTAATTCATCCCCCATAGTAATTAATCCCCCATATAGTAATTCATCCCCCATAGTAATTCATCCCCCATAGTAATTCATCCCCCATATAGTAATTCATCCCCCCTATAGTAATTCATTCCCCATATTAATTCATCCCTCATATAGTATTTCATCCCCCATAGTACTATTCCCCCCCAAGTAGTAAGCCAAGTCCCCCCTGTGTCAATTCACTTACCTTTGCTCCGCGCGTTCCTCTCGCCGTGTTCCCACGCCGTTCCAGTCTTCAGGGCGGACTGTGAGAGGAGCCTAGCTCCCCTCACGTTCGTCACGCTGCCCCCCACCTACACACATCCTGACAGCCATCCTGACAGTATCACGCTCCACGGGCCGGATTAAAAGGTCCGCCGGGCCGTATACAGCCCGCGGGCCGTAGTTTGCCCATTGCTGTCTTAGAACCTTGTATGGCAAACAATATTGCTTAGCAAAGCAATTTCATTGAAGGGAGGGGACACTACATATATGGCCTTTTGATTGACAGGTCCATATTTATTGACTCCATAAGCTGAAGCTGACAATGTTGCATCAGCCTGCTCATGTGACAAATTTCTCTGTTAAAATGATAGTATAAACTAAGAATCTATCTTTACAACATAATATCTCAATAATGTTGTATAACCAAAAATCTACGTATGTAACACATATTACCAACTTATAAAACATAAACTAAATACGCACAGATACTATTAGAATATATATTATTTCATACTAATTCTATTTGGGTTCACTCCCATGACATTCTATACTAAAGATCTTTTAACCAGCTATGCCCTTCTATAGAATACTCAGCTTTCAGCTAGTTAGCTCAGCTCCAAACATATTTATTTGTCTCAGCTATAACTGAGAATAAGAATTTAACACTATCACTTGTTTAAGGTCAACCACACATTTTAATATTAATTATGAATAATCATAAAAACCAAATATTTTGCAAGCTTGCCATCAATATAATATAAATGTTGAATTATGCATTTGGAATGCTTATCAATGGAGGCCTCCCAGATTTTCTTTTTCCATTCAGCCCACTGGGTTGAATGAAAAAAAAACCCCGTGTGTACCAGGCATAAGTGTATAAACACTTATTAAAGGAAGACAATTAGCAACTTACATGAAGCTAAACGAATCATGGTTCTCAAAAGGACTGCCGGCTGTGGAGGACACCAAAGAAACCTTCACAATGGATACATTGGATATGGTCTGGATGACACCTGCAATAGCTAAGGGAAAAAGCAAGGGGGACGCCAATTTAAGTGCAGCAAGTTAGAGAGGTGGATACAGCACACAATAATTAGCAACTCATAGTGTGTGGATGATCTCATGCATTACAATCATTGCTGCATCTGCAGCTGGGAGGAGTAGGTATTCCAGGATCCCAAGATGGAGCCCCTGCTGTGTGGGGGGAGTATGGGACCCGGTGTAACCAGACAGCTTCAGGACAGGAAGCAGCACGTGTGTGGATTGATGAAGTACAAGCAAGGACAGGAAGTGACAAAGCAGGAAGTGACATCAGGTGGTGTGTCTACACATTTCGAGGCCCACTCCTCTTTTTCAAGCCAGGAGGTGAATGCAAATGGGAACTGTATTTATGTTCTGGGCTATGCAGTGTGGAACTGCAAAACCTGTTTTTTTTTTTGCTGTACAGGTATACTACTTAATCAGTAGGTAATGTCATGTTTCACAGGACTGTCATATGCCTTTAAGTGTTCTTTATACTTTGTCTCTGCTCCTCCCTTTCCTCTGGTTTTGTTCATGCTGTATAGATAGCCCACCCCTTTTCCCAGTAATGCATTGCAGCTTCTAACCTCATGTCATGAAGCAGATCACATTATGATCTTTTGACCTTTCCGATGTTCATTGTTGTAAGATTCTCTCAGTTTAGGGAATAAACTTCACAAGATCTACAAGATGTCATCTGATCGATTCACTGCCTGTGATTTTCAACTAAGATTGGAGTTATCGCTATCTCAACATAACTGTAAGTAACAGAGATCACACTTTCAGTGCTTAGATAAGAGAGACAGAACAGGTAATCTTTATTGTATAGACGAAGCAATCATATACAATCTTAATATTAACAGTAACACAGCCTGTTATAAAGGATATGATCTTCTGCAAAAAGGGGCCATCAACATTAACAGCAGAAGCCATGTATTTTATGAATGTTTGTGTATTATAATATTCACGCTGCTTATCTGAAATTCGCAACAGTGCCAATGGGAACACAGACTTTTTTTTTGCATGTAAGATCATAATAAAACCCAGCAGTATTGCTTATATTGGAATAGGAAGAACCACATAGATTTTAGTACCACTATGGTATCTTGATTTTTTACTAGGCTACGGTATATCAAAGCCCGAGAAAAATCACAGAAATAGATACTGAG